TTCTGTTTGTCTTCAACCCCTCCAGGTCCAAAAATGGCATTATCAAACTATTCCAATCTGTGCTGATCTGTCAACTCTCTCCTTGATCAAATCCACCTTCTGGGTCAGAGCCTGAATCTCAGCCAAAGTTCCAAGCTTGCAACTCATCTCCACAATTATCTGAGTCTATGAGTTTACAGCACGGTGCATTCCATCCCTGAGCTCCGGGATTAAGCCAATATTCCTTGAAAGCTCGTTAATTTTCTGGTATGCCAGGTAACCGCTCAGGCCAAACAGCAGGGATCTCGACACCAACATGATTTCAGAATCCTCTACTGACAGTTGAGACAGGCAGATCAAGTTCCACTGTTTCCAGGAGTCCATGATATACCCAGCTGGCTCTGTCCCAGAGGGACATCCGGGAGTCCCTTCTCCCATTCTCATCGTTGAAAAGATTTAGTCAATCACATTGAAAAACCAACTGACCAGATCCATGTTTAATGATTTCCAGTTTCCAGAAAAATTGCAGAGAAGGGCAGTGCACAGGCATACAGACAGGACACAAGAGCCTTGGGAAGAGCAGGGAGGGAGATTTGGAAAAAAAGCGTCTGTAGTTTCCAAGAGCCGGAAGAAGAAATACTAATACTAGCTTATTGTAATCTGGCAAGCCGTCATGTGAATATATGATCTGGCCAGACCCAAAGACAAACCTGAGTTGTGAGGCAGAATATATTGGGCAACAAACAACGTGACATACTCACCACTACGAATTGAAAGTCAATGGGTCGCCTGTCAAAGAAGACCCAAATACATATTTTTATTTCTAAATAAAGGATTTAAGTACCTCTATCTGCAAAGTTGATGTCAAAGCCGTTTCAAAAGAACTGCCGCCACCGTAGCATTTTTGCTCAGTCGCCGTCACATCCCGCCCACCAAAACAACAGAGTGCTGTGATTGGCTAGACACAAAAATGCTTGGGCCGGCTGCAGTTCCAGTGGAGAGTGACTAGACTGATATGCATAGCAGAAGTTTTCTGCTTCTGCTACTGTCTGTCAGGATTTCTAGGGTAGGCTTATTGTGCTTATTAAGCAAAACAGGATGAAAGAAAAGAGCCAAAGAGCTCTTAAATGCGGTGAAGCACGGAGTGAATGCGATAGCAATCATCAAGACAGCTCACAAGACCCTGCATGTGTTACTGTACGGAGTGAGCTGCAGTTACAGGTGCTGGCCAGTAAATTAGAATATCATCAAAAGGTTGAAAATATTTCAGTAATTCCATTCAAAACGTGAAACTTGTACATTATATTCATGCAATGCACACAGACCAATGTATTTCCAATGTTCATTACATTTAAATTTGATATTCATAAGTGACAACTAATGAAAACTCCAAATTTGGTATCTCAAAAAATTAGAATATTCTGAAAAGGCTGAATATAGAAGACACCTGCTGCCACTCTAATCAGCTGATTTACTCAAAACACCTGCAAAGGCCTTTAAAAGGTCCCTCAGTCTTGTTTTGAAGGCACCACAATCATGGGGAAGACTTCTGACTTAACAGCTGTCCAAAAGACAATCATTGACACCTTGCACAAGGAGGGCAAGACACAAAAGGTGATTGCTAAAGAAGCTGGCTGTTCGCAGAGCTCTGTGTCCAAGCACATTAACAGACAGGCGAAGGGACGGAAAAAATGTGGTAGAAAAAAGTGTACAAGCTCTAGGGATAACCGCACCCTGCAGAGAATTGTGACGACAAACCCATTCAAAAATGTGGGGGAGATCCACAAAGAGTGGACTGCAGCTGGAGTCAGCGCTTCAAGAACCACCACGAGGAGACTCATGAAAGACATGGGATTCAGGTGTCGCATTCCGTGTGTCAAGCCACTCTTGAACATGAAACAGCGCAAGAAGCGTCTCGCCTGGGCCAAGGACAAAAAGGACTGGACTGATGCTGAGTGGTCCAAAGTTATGTTTTCTGATGAAAGCAAGTTCTGCATTTCCTTTGGAAATCAAGGACCCAGAGTCTGGAGGAAGAGCGGAGAAGCACAGAATCCACGTTGCATGAGGTCCAGTGTAAAGTTTCCACCGTCAGTGATGGTGTGGGGTGCCATGTCATCTGCCGGTGTTGGCCCACTCTGTTTCCTGAGGTCCAGGGTCAATGCAGCCGTCTACCAGGAAGTTTTAGAGCACTTCATGCTTCCTGCTGCTGACCAACTTTATGGGGATGCAGACTTCACCTTTCAACAGGACTTGGCACCTGCACACAGTGCCAAAACCACCAGCACCTGGTTCAAGAACCATGGTATCCCTGTCCTTGATTGGCCAGCAAACTCGCCTGACCTTAACCCCATAGAAAATCTATGGGGTATTGTGAAGCGGAGGATGCAATACGCTAGACCCAACAATGCAGAGGAGCTGAAGACGACTATCAGAGCAACCTGGGCTCTCATAACACCTGAGCAGTGCCACAGACTGATCGAGTCCATGCCACGCCGCATTACTGCAGTTATTGAGGCAAAAGGAGCCCCGACTAAGTATTGAGTGCTATACATGCACATTCTTTTCATGTTCATTCTTTTCAGTTGGCCAACATTAGAGAAACAAACATTTTTTCATTGGCCTTTAGAATATTCTAATTTTCTGAGATACCAGATTTGATGTTTTCATTGGTTGTCACCTATAAATATCAAAATTAAACGTAATAAACATCGGAAATACATTGGTCTGTGTGCATTGCATGAATATAATGTACAAGTTTCACGTTTTGAATGGAATTACTGAAATATTTTCAACCTTTTGATGATATTCTAATTTACTGGCCAGCACCTGTATTTGCTGCCTTTCCTGCTGCTTCATTAGCCTCCGTCAGCAGTTTAAACACAAGTTCAGATAAAACATTAAAGACAAACCTCTGACGGGGCATCTGGGGCCACTTTAATCCACAGAGCGGGCTATAGGGCCTTCCATCAATTACAACCGTATTAGCCTAATTGTAATGAAATAATCTAATTCAGAAGACAGCTGAGCCTTAACTCTGCAGATCAGCAACAGACAAGCAACACAGCAGCAGGGAGAGACAGGGAGCATGTTGTTACATTTTGTGTTAAGATACTTTCTGATAAAGCAGGCAGTTTGTTGCATCAATGAGATCTCAGGACGTTTCATCGCTAATTGATTGCCAAATGGTTCCCATCTAGAGCAAGTTTCTAGAGGGCTTTTAGGTGCGACAGCAAGCTTTATCTATCTAACACCGCTCCCACTCTTCTCTCTATTCACCTCTGTGCAAAATTCCTCATAAAATAAGAGTTTTATACGGAAGTAAATGTTTCTTTGTATGGATTTTCCAACACTAACTTTATCATTAGCCTCTTTTTTATTGATTAATATGTTTTTACAAGACAGTTGACTATTTGCTACAAGTGTGTCCTTTATTTTAACAAGGACACCTAGTTCTACATTTGTATTCATAGTATGATTTATTAGGGAGATGCTTTCCTTCAGCATACATTTTCTATAGGACACCTAACTATTTATAGACTGTTTATTGGACCATCTTGACCCTGATCTCTTAGCTAAAGGTGAGCTATAGGGAAAATAGTTCTGCCATTACAAAAATAATAATACAACTTATTTTATTTCTTTAGCTTTTGTTGTTTAAATTTAAGCTTGTTCTCATTTTTTAGAGTGATCTGCAAAACAATTTAAAGATGGAATTGGGATTTTGCTTCTCTAAAATGTGTGTTTGATCATTTTCTGTTTAATTTTGAAGAAAACATACATTTCATATAATAAAAGGGATACTTGGCAACTTTTTCATATTTATTCATCATTTTCTTGAGCCAGTTTGTGCTAAATTGACCCTTCACAGGGTTAATGAAAGGCCACCCAGCCCCTGTCAACACCTTTGTTCATAATATTGCAACTTCAGAGTTGCTGGTCCTCTCTGTTGGAACTTAGAAAGAAATGGAGCTGACATACCTGGTCCTGCAGTGTAGTTTCTGCACGTTTCTTGCATTATTTAATTCATGATAGCAGCTGATTTGTTTACTTTAGTGATAAACCACTAACCACTAACTTTAGTCTTACTTTAGTCAGTCAAACATTCCCAATCAACACACTTTTATCCTGGGCTACAGCAGATTTAGTTATGGCTCCACCATCTGCTTGTATAAGTTATTTTTTATCTTTATTGTATGAACTCTGGATGTTTTGGTTTCTGCATAATCAGAAAACATTTGCTGTAAAATTTTATAAATCTTTTAATAAGAAAAGTAAATGTATAGGAAGTCAAAACGTGGGAGTATAATTTGATAGAAACAAATAAAACAACAAAAGAATAAATGTGTCATTTAAGAAAACTGTTTAACAAAACATCAGTTCAGAAAACAGTTCAAATCTTTTGATTTTTTGATGTTTTTCTTCTTGATAATTGTTTTGATTTTTGGATAAAATGTTTTGTGTTGTTTTGTAGTGGAACATTAGAGTATTTTTTAATATATTTGCTTTATTATTGTAGAGATTTTGGTTTTCTTGAATGATTTTTTTATTTAACATCAGCGTTTCATGACTTTTCAGTCATCCTATCTTGTGAATTGTTGCTTTGTGTGTGTTACACCTCAGGACCACCACTGGTCCCTTCATAATGACGGATCTGAAATCGGTGCGGTGGCAGAACACGGCGATATTGTGTTGGAAAAAGGATGTTGTTTATTATGCTGTATTGACTGAAAAAGTGATGACTGACCTGCAACAAGCATATTCATTAAACAGTGGATATTAGGATCAACAGGATATCTGCACTGTCCTGTGTGAATCAATAGCTGTGGAGGTCATGGTGTGTGTGTGTGTGTGTGTGTGTGTGTGTGTGTGTGTGTGTGTGTGTGTGTGTGTGTGTGTGTGTGTGTGTGTGTGTGTGTGTGTGTGTGTGTGCGTGCGTGCGTGCGTGCATGCGTGCCTGTGTGTGTGCAGAAACAACTTTCCCATACTCATCCATATCTTCTCACCCCTCTGTCTCCACCTAGATGGTGTATAAGCCCTGGCTGTGTTCTCAGTACTTCCAGACCACCCAGATGCACTGCAGCAAGCGAATCCCCTGTGGCCAGTACTGCCTGGAGGTACAGCAGCGGTGTCCCTTTGTCCTGCCCGACAATGATGATCTCATTCACGGAGGCAGCCCCAGTTTTATATGCACAGGTGCAGATTAAGCATGATGCATTTTATACAATCTCATTTTTGTGTTTGTTTGTTTGTTCTCATGGCTACTGTTGTGAAACATTATCATAAGTGCAGAACACACGGCTTGAAGGCTTCACTTCAGAGTCCACGAGCAAGCAAGTGCTTTGTTGGCTGAGGGATAAAAGAACATTACTTTTCCCAAATCCTGGGCTTCAGAGCTATGAGTAACAGTCTTCTTCTAACCCCACACCTCTCGGCCTGGTTTTTACTGAGTCACCTGCAGTCAGCTTGGGGAACTTTAATGAGTAAGCACATAATCTCTGGGCTAAGAGGTTGATGAGAAAGGCAGTAATGCTTCAGTGGGACTCTTAACCTTTGACAGAAACTTCTCTGAGTTTACAGTAACAGGTTGTGCTTGTTCAGACTGACGAGGCTAATAAAGTCTCAGCATAACTTCAAATCACTCATAGATCCACACGTCAGCTGCAAAGTGAAGCACAATTGAATTAGATTTAATTTAATTTAAGTTTATTTTGATTATTTTTTTACGTAGATTTTTTTAATCACATGATTTGTTTATTTGGGTGGCGATACAATCTACCTTAATTGTCTTTTATTAAGGGTTAGGGTTAGGGTTAGTCAAAACTGGAATTTTTAACTTTGCTGATGAAAACTGAGCAACTTCCAACCAAAACCACACATGCAGACAAACATCCAACAATTTGAGGATTAATAACATGATTACTCAAATTCCAGTGATCTCTTTGGTCAATTAGATGGAAGGCCTTTGGTTTTTATGTTAGTGCTGCCATCTAGCGCCCATGTTGAGGACTACTTTCCAATTCCATCAGTGGCAAAAAGAGCTTTTATATTTGTTTTAGGTTAGGTATGGCACATTTTTTGTAAACGTATGTAAGTTCAACTAATTATTCAAAATGGCAGCAGTCATTATTTTATTATCAGCTTGTGTCTCTTAATTGTAGCCATCTGCTGATTTTTTATAAAAGAAAAAAACTTTTAAGATTTGTACTTTATTTACTTATCATTAAGTCATTTGGCTTGACAAATGTAATATTTAACACCAATAAATCAGATAATAAATATAATCTTTCCCACTAAAATACAAAAATAAATTCTACAATAAACAATACAGGATGAAAGAGAAAGAAAGGCCTAAATAAGCCTCATGGTGTCTTACACTATAACAACAACAAAAATTGCTATTTTTATTAATGCTCCATTGTGTCTCCATACTCCTCAACTACCCCACCCTGAATGTGTCCAGGGCTGCTAGAGGACTATCCTTCAGGTGCAGACCCAGACGCAGAGTGCTGCGACGTGCGGTGGGACTTGAAAGTGGACAACAGTTCCAGGGGGACCCTAAAAAGAACTCACCCTCCGTGCCAGCATCGGACCTCCCTAAGCTCCTCGGCAGCCTGCAGACTGTGTAACAGCCGGCTCAAACTCTGCCTGCTGGTCCTCATGCTCCTACACACTGTTGCCAGCCTCACTGCATCCCACAATGCAACGGGACTGGGCCTCCCCAACATCGCGCCACTGGAGGACAGCCCTGCCAACGAGGAGTGACAGAGCTGCCAGGCGGGTGCGGGGTTGTAGGGAAGGGGGATTCCCTCACCATGGCAACCAGTGTGGAAAAATACAGCTACGGTTGTACAAATAGCTGGAGCTGTGGGCCTGCAGAGGTTCAGCAACAAAAAGAGGAAATGTGGGATGCTTTGAGATGATAGACGCTTCAGTCAATCAAAACAAAGAAGTAACTTAGCAGATTTCCACACACTAAGGGGTTTAAATAGTCCCTTTGTTAGGAAATGGGGACAATGCCACAGCCTTTGTTGAGTGGGAAGGTCAGCTTCCTTGTGCTGACTTTCTCTAACTTTGCTTTTGTACACTGTGTTCCAATTATTGGTTTCTGTTGCACTGGCAGACTATGGAAAAACACAATCATTTTCTCTTTCTAATGTCCATTATTTGTCTTTGTTTCTGGGTCCTCCGTACAGGAACAAAATGCGTCCTTGAAATAAGACAGAAAATGTGAAAAAAATTATTAGCTGCAAACGTGCGTGTGTTTACAGATGTGTTAGTCTGTGAGAGAATGAGTGCATGTCCTAAAAATCTACCTAAAAGCTGGAGCAGCTAATGGTTTTACAGAGAGCCCCACAGATTTACTCGACTTCACTGCGTCGGTTCGTTGGCTCGATCCGATTGGAGTTTCACTGGGTTTCAATGTGGTTCTGATGCCCCTGACCTGTAACACTCACGTGCATTACCTTATGTATTCATCTTTTAGATAAAACTCAGTAGTATCAGTAAAAAGGAAACACTTGGCTCAGGAAGTTTTTCTTCAGTGTTGCCAAAGTCTGATATATTTTTTTTATCTTATTCTACCCTCTGAGTTCATTGTGTTAAAATGTGACATCAATAAAGAAAAACTAAAAATAAAATTAGCAAGACTGCTTTCATTGTCATTTTGGCTCAATAAATAAAGCTAATGAAACATGTTATGAAACAATAAGAAAAAATAAGTAATAAGCCAGAAAAAACGGTGGAAGGCTCTGTTGAACACACAAACACAACTAACCTGGTATAAATAAGTGTTTGAACAACCTAAATTACATCAATTCAGATTAGTGGAAAGCAGACTGATGCGCTAACGGCTAGTCCTAAAGTAGATTACTGCCAATAAAATAAAAATTGTCACACAAGCTCAGTTTACGAAGCTTTGTTCTGTCATCTGTTTCAAATGACAGGATATCAATGCTTCATTTCAAAGGAAACCAGCATCATAGCTAGCTTTTTGTGGAATTTCCAGTTTATTTTGATTGGAATTTTATGACTTTTCTATAAAAATACATATATAATGTAAAACAGACAGGGTTCAAATGAAATTAATTAATATAACAATTGTTTTTGGCCTCACAACTTTAAATTTAATATTTATTTAAGGAAGTACAGAAAATCAATCAGCATGAGGAGTTTTGGCCACAAAGTTAAGCAAAGTACACCAGTAGTGGTTCAGTAGTGCAAAAAAGAAAATGAAAAAGGAATTTTAACTTTGCAACATTTTATTGAAACACAGGAAAATGATTATTTTAATGAATTTGCAATATTAATAGTCTTTAATTCCCATGCAGGTTGACATGGGAAGAAACAAACCTTTTTATTCCCATCCTTGGTCCAACCTTCTAACATAAGAACCACATCTAATCCCAACCACCTCCTGTTACATGCATACCATGTAGTATATTTTCTCCTTCAAACATCATTATGGTATTCCATTATGTAAAGGGCTTAATACAATTTACAGAACAACATAGTCACCCACAAAGCAAGACGCTCCGAGCTTCTTGCAGCAAAGAGGATAATATTGCTTTCTATATTTTTTCACTGTTTTAGTATTTTTCAGAACCCACAACTTCAGTATAAATTATTTAAATTAGTTTTATTTGGAAATCAGGAGCAGAAACAAATGTAGAGAAAGAAGGATGTTAGCCTGAGTCAGCTAGATAAATATGAAGTTGCTGATTAGTGACAAGAAAGGAATGGTGCCACCTCAAGGGCTGACCCCCCCCCCCCTTATTATTATTATTTTTTGTTTCTTATTTTACTCTGTGTGTTATTATTATTATTGTTTTTGTTATTATTATTATTATTATCGAGTTTGTGAGATCAGGTATCGACACAATGGGATGTCCAATCCATCATCTGATGTCAGAAATCATTATAGCATAGCCGAATGGATCCTGATTCTTATTATGTATTCACAAATATGTCATATTGGCCCATTTTTTCATTAGCTGTTTAGGAATTGTCCTTACAATAAAATTATTTAATAAAACTGAAAGACTCCATTCACCCAAAGCTGTCTTAGATTCATGTCTCCAGTAAAAGGAAGTTGCTGCTATACCAATGGCCACCAGTAGAATGACACATGTTTATTTTTCATATCAGTGCTGTTGCTAGAGGCATGAAGGGTCAGAGTTACATAAATCAGACATGGTTGAGCTCCAGGAGGGAAATTACAAACCCACTGGGTAAAAGGGTGCTGGTGTGTGTGTGTGTGTGTGTGTGTGTGTGTGTGTGTGTGTGTGTGTGTGTGTGTGTGTGTGTGTGTGTGTGTGTGTGTGTGTGTGTGTGTGTGTGTGTGTGTGTGTGTGTGTGTGTGTGTGTGTGTGTGTGTGTGTGTGTGTGTTGCTAACCACTGTTTGTTCTCCAGCCTTAAGTTTAGCTGTGTTGACTTGACCTTGAGGCTGTAGAACAGATGTTGCCAGCAGATGTTACTCAAAATTCCTTCTTCTGTTTACCTGACCCAAACTGCCTGGAAATAGTTTATGTACATCAAATCTCAACAAAGGAAAACGAAAATAAAACAAATAGTGGTAAAAGTGCAAGTACACGGCTAGTTTGTGGAAATGTTACACCTACTAATGCATTGGCTGCATCTCATGTTTATTTCACAAATCATCACAAATCTTATGTAGGTTGGCTTTTATGTATGGGGAAAATGTAGAGCAACAGCGTTTAGTAACTAGAGGGAATTTACCACGCCCCCTAGTGGCCAGCTGCTATAAATGTGTTATCACCCCCACATGAATGAATGTAGGCTGATTAAAATAAAAACACACCTCAGATCATTTCTAATCCCTGTAACTAATTCTGACTCTGCTGCCATTTGATCAAATTAATTTACTAAAGTCTTAATTGATTTACTTTTAAGCTGTGCAAAACTGAATAACTTGGTTTGTATCCTTATTTTAGGATTATTATTATTATTATTATTATTATTATTATTATTATTATTATTATTGTTATTATCATTATTATTATTTCTCTCACCTCTATAAATGATGTTTCATTAAGAGGGTAATGTGAGGGAAACTGTAGATTCTATCTGCAGCCCTGACTGAGGTTTTGTAGCTGTTTTAGGGTCTGTTACACAGTAAATTACAGAAAACTATATTTGTGTTCATGTTCATGAACTTTTAAATGCCTCTTGTCCCCTGCTCCTGTCCAACACCTCAAATGTCCACCAGTACCTGCTTTCACTTCCTCTGGCTTTACATTTGATCTGTTCTCTATCCTGTGGATCTATGCAGAAGCCCATTCCTTTTTGTTTTGGTTGGAAATACATTCCTTATTATGCTGAATAATGTCCCTACTTTAATCATTTGAGTTGATCTAAAGCTGTTGATTTCTTCCTGTTTTTCTTCTTCTCCTGAATTATTTTGAGCATCTGGAATCACTGATGTGTCGAGACAGAGTGGTGAAGTTTAACCAATAGATCTGTCCTCAGCTTTACAACCTTATTGTTAAAGGTTGTGATTGTGTGTGTATGTGTGTGTGTGTGTGTGTGTGTGTGTGTGTGTGTGTGTGTGTGTGTGTGTGTGTGTGTGTGTGTGTGTGTGTGTGTGTGTGTGTGTGTGTGTGCGTGTGTGTGCGTGCGTGCGTGCGTGCGTGCATGCGTGTATGTGTGTGTGTGTGTGTGTGTGTGTTTGTGTGTTTGTGTGAAGAAAACAGGTTTTATTATGGACATGGTTCAAACGCTTATAGAAGTACCATTGCGATTATGGTTATTATTACTATTATACTACCAGTATATTGTAATATTATAGATGCTTTAGTTGAAGTAACTTCTTTCATTTTTTTACAAAGCACTTTGATGAAATTATTTATAAAAAAAAAAGAGTCTCACAAGTCATGATCTTTTGGAAAAGTATGAAAACTACTGCTACAATGAGTAAAAATTGTGTTGAAGAAAATAAATACAAACATAAAATAATGTGCTTCTTTCATGTTTGAGGTTGTGCATGTTGTGTGTGTGTGTGTGTGTGTGTGTGTGTGTGTGTGTGTGTGTGTGTGTGTGTGTGTGTGTGTGTGTGTGTGTGTGTGTGTGTGTGTGTGTGTGGTGATGAAAAGAAATTACAGCTTTGGGGCCACACCTGCTGCAACAGGGCTCAGAGCCTGGAGCCTCCACTTGCAGCAGAGCGCGAGGGAGATTTCCATAACAGAACTTTAGGTTACTGTCGTAACCCCGGTTCTCTGAGTAACATGAGTGAGATGTCTCACTATGGGATACGCCCCTCCGCGTATTCCTCAGAAGCACTTATCTCAATACGCCAATCCTGATTGGCCAGTGACCGTGACGTACGCGTCCCCGCTACTATAAGTAGCAAGCGTCCCAATGCACGCACTATTCAAGATAAACACCTCTTCTCGCTTCGCCCAGCAAGAAGGGTTGTCTGGTGAGACATCTCACTCATGTTACTCAGAGAACCGGGGTTACGACAGCAACCTAAAGTTCTCTTTCTTAACATTCGTTTTGATGTCTCACTATGGGATATGGAGACTCCCGTATTGCCAGACAGCTTATCCAGCGATCACCAACCTACAGGGATACGTCTTGGCCCGCCAAAGACCCCACACTCAGAATCGTGTGAGTCATTGCAGGTGTAACGTGAGGAAATATGGGTTTTCTGACCGAAACATCAAGCTTATAGAAGTGTGTAAATGCAAGTGGAGAAGCCCAACTTGCTGCAGCACAAATCTCCTGGATTGACAGCCCCCGAAAAAGGGCCCAAGAAGCAGACAGGCCCCTAGTAGAATGGGCCCTGAGCCCTACAGGTGCCTGAATGCCCTGACAGGAGTAAGCCATAGAAATAACCTCCACAATCCAGTGGGAAAGCCACTGCTTTGTGACGGGTTTCCCCTTACGAGGCCCACCCCATGACACAAAAAGCTGGTCCCCCCTGCGAAGGTTCTCTGTCCGATTCACATACTCCTTGAGCGCGCGAATCGGACACAGCTTGTGCCACCGCTCCTCCTCAGGAGAGGAGAAGGGTGGTGGGTAGAAAGCTGTGAGGATAATAGGAGAAAAGGAGCCCACTACCTTAGGCACAAAGGCAGGGTTGGGCTTCAAGGACACCTTCATGTCACCTGGTGCAAACTGGGTGCAGGATGGGTGCACAGAGAGAGCCTGTAAGTCACTAACTCACTTTGCAGATACCAAAGCCAGGAGTAGCACCACCTTAAGAGACAGGATCTTAAGGTCCAGGCTGTCCATAGGTTCAAATGGAGGCCCGGAGAGGGCCGACAGCACCAAGGACAGATCCCATGAGGGCACCAGGGGTCGAGACACAGGGAGAAGCCTGCGCGCGCCCCTCATGAAGCTACACACCAGGGGGTGTTGACCTGCCAATTTCTTCTCAAAACCCAAGTGTCGGGCAGAAATGGCTGCTAGTTACACTTTAATGGTGGAGAAAGCCTTCTTCCCATCCAACAAGTCTTGCAGGAAAGACAGAATGACGTTCACCGAGCATTGGAAGGGTGAGACCTCCCTGCCCTGACACCAGGCTTCAAACACCCTCCATTTACAGTCATATAGGGATCTAGTGGAGGGGGTCCTAGCATTCTGAATGGTTCAAATGACTGCCTGGGGCAGCTCTGCTGACACTAGCCCGCACCCCTCAGGGGTCAGGCCCACAGGGCCAGCCGTTCTGGATGAGGGTGGAAGATCGAGCCTCCCGCTTGGGACACCAGGTCCCTGCGAAGCGGCAATTTCCAAGGTTGGCCCTCCAGGAGCTGGAAAATGTCCGCCACCCAATGCATGGCTGGCCAGTATGGGGCCACCAGAATGAGAGTGTGGCGCTGGGTTCGTACCCTCAGCAAGGTGGGTGGTATCAGGGCCACTGGGGGAAAAGCATAAAGCAGTCCCCGTGGCCAGTCGTGCGCCAGCGCGTCCACGCCGAGTGGAGCGTCTCGGTCACGCAGGGAGAAGAACAGTGGACACTGAGCATTCTCCTTGGAGGCAAAAAGATCCACTACGGCTGTGGCGAACCGGATCCAAGTCTGTTCCAACACTGCTGGATGCAGGCTCCAATCCCCGTACAGGGGTGTCCTTCTGGACAACAGATCCGCCCCCCGATTCAGAACACCCGGGACGTGGGTGGCTCTGATTGAGAGGAGATGCCTGCTGCACCATAGGATCAGTCTGCGTGCCAGCGTGTGTAACCGCATGGAGCGCAGCCCCCCCTGGCGGTTTATATAAGCCACAGTCGTAGTGTTGTCGGTTCTCACTAGGACATGATGGCCGGAGAGAAAAGGCAGGAAGCGCCTCAGGGCCAGGAAGACCGCGAGGAGTTCCAGATAATTTATGTGTGTCCCTCAGAGCTCTCTGCTCCACACACCCCTAACAGAGCGACCCTCCAGGAGCCCCCCCCCCCCCCCCCAACCTGACAGGCTCGCATCTGTCGTGACCACTTTCCTCACGAGAACCAACCCCAAAGGCACCCCCTGTGCCAAGAGGGAGGGGTGACGCCAACAGCGGAGCGCCGCGATGCACGCTGCAGAGACCGTCACCCTGCGAGCTCTGTGGCGCACTGGAGAGAGACCCAGAGAAGCCACCCAGCGCTGAAAATCTCTCATGTGTAGATGGCCGAGTGGTACCACTGAAATAGCCGACGCCATGAGACCCAAAAGCCTGAGGCATAACGCAAACCGCACCGAACTGTGTAGGCGGAAGCGCACCAGGCAGAGCGAGAGCGCGTTCACGCACGGTGCCGAGAGACGGGCCGTGAACGCCCCTGAGTCCAGATTCAGAACTAGAAAGGTTATTTTCTGGGAGGGGAGTAAAGCGCTTTTCTGCCAGTTTATTCTGAAACCCAGACCACACAAGTGATGGATCACAACCAGCGTGTTTGACGCTGCCTCCTCTCTGGACCGTGCCAGCAGGAGCCAGTCGTCTAAATACGTGGCCAGGCGAATGCCCCTCCCTCTCAGAGGGGCGATCGCCGCCTCCGTACACCTGACAAACACCCTCGGGCTCAGCGAGAGGCCGAATGGGAGCACGGTGCATTCGTAACACACTCCCTGAAAGGCAAACCTCAGAAATTTCCTGTGTGGAGGGTACACGGGAATATGAAAGTATGCGTCCCTCAGGTCGATTGAGGTGAACCAGTCGTTCTGGTGAATCAGACGCAAAAGAGATGAGAGCGTGAGCATTTTGAATCTGTACTTTCTGAGGCATCGGTTCAGGGCCCTCAGATCCAGGATCGGGCGAATACCGGTCCCTCCCCGTTTCGGGACCAGGAAATACCTGGAGTAGAAACCGCTCTGAGACCGATCGGAAGGCACAATGCATATCGCTCCCTTCTCTAGCAGGGAGGAGATTTCTCCCTGAAGGATGTGAGCTGATGTCCCCTGGGCGTGGGAGAACACTACGCCAGAGAATCGAGGAGGAACAGAAGCGAATTGGAGCCTGTAACCTCTCGAAATAGTTCTTAGCACCCAATGTGATGCAGAAACCGCTGTCCATTCCTCCATGTGAGTGAAGAGCGGTGACACAGCCGTTACACACGGAGCAGCAGCTCCCTCCAGAGGTTGTGGGGCAGCGGTGCTCTTGGCAACCATTGCGCATGCGCGGGGGCTTTGTGCTTTGATGGCCCTGGCGTACGGGGACGACCCATGGCTGGCGGGTAAGTCCGCCAGAGGCCACCCCCGCCTGGAACCGCTCATGGGTAACATTTTTATTGATTTGTGCTGCGCCCTTGACATTCTGTCTGGATGTGGCAGCGAACTTTTTAATGCTCCTTGAGCGTGACATGTTTGTGAAAAACAATGTGAGTGCTTGTGACGTGTGTTTTGAGCCTGCACAGCCGGTTGCACGTCCTGGCCCCACCCTGGACCACTCAGGGACTCTGCCAGAGGGGTTCCGTGAGGGGGGGAGAAAGCACCATGGCACATCGAACAGGAGGAGCTGGCGATCGGGGAACTGCCAGCTGCAGCGTCGGGAAGGAAAGAACTCCGTCAGGCTGCCCTCTTCTTCTACCTCACCTGCTGACCGCCGGGTCGGGTGGGTTGTCCCGGCGGCGGAGCGGCTTGGTTGCCGGATCTCTGAGGCCAAACTGGTCGAGGCGCTGAGCCCGAAGGAGCTGGTTGGACAGCTTGAGGCTTCGGGCGCTTTGGGATCCGGAACTGAGGCTGGGCTCGGGCAGCTGCCTGAGGAAGGTTCGGCCGAGCCGGCAGCGCTGGCAGCGCCGGTGTGGGCTTACGGGGAAGACAGCGATGAAGGGCTTCATCCTCTTTCTTTTTGGCCTCACACCGTTGCTGCATTGATGCCAGGGCAGAGCCAAAAATGCCTTCAGGCATGATTGGCATGTCCAAAATGTCCTCCTTCTCTCTATCAGAGAGGTTGGTGAGGTTCAGCCATCGTGCACGTTCTTGAAGCACCATCATGCCCATAGCTTTAGCTCTGGTGCCTGGACCGCGCAGCGCTGCACACGCAGGCAGATGTCGGTCAGTACGGTGATTTCCTCCTACACCTCCGGGTCCGGCTTCATATTCATGTCCTCACAGAGCTTGGCTTGGTACGCCGAGAGCATGGAAGAGACATTCAAAGCTTGGACCGAGATGGCGGCAGCCTTGTACGCCCTCTCATTCAGCGCCGGCTGGAAGCGGTCCGCCTTTGCAGGGAGAGCGGGAGGCCTGGAGGAAGTTGCCGAGAGCCGTGGGTGCAGGTGGGCTGCAACCAGCGGTTCCATCGGCGGCATGTGAAGCATGCCAGCCTTCTCCATCCCCTCGAAGTCCAGCGAGGAGGCTCCTTGGACAGGAGACCTGGAGCTGAAAGGGTGTTTGTCCCAGGAGGACCTCACTTCTTGGAGAAGCTCCGGGAAGGCGGGAAGGAGAGGCTTTGCCGCCCCTGTGGCCTGAGGCAGCTTCTTTCCCTCGTAGCGGGATCTGACAGCCTCAGTGACCACGGTGGGCCAAGGGATGTT